TTTATTTTTGTTTCAGCCAGCGGAGGCTAAGTGAGCATAACCAGAGTGGTAACACGAGGCTAGATATGCCTGTTCTTTTACCAGATTTGCCATAATCCTCGGTCCAAACTAGCAGAGAGGCAAGAGAGAGGTAGCGGGAGGGTGGCCAGTTCCGTGTGCACATCTCTGGGCTAAGCAAACCTCCCATGATGCTCCACTTCTGGAAACTGTCCCCCAGCAAGGGAGTGCTGGGTGGATACAGCCTTCTGTCTGCTGGATTTTCCTCACAACGCTTGGCCCCGCACCTCCCAGCACAGAATAAGAGTTACCTTTCCCATCTCATAAATCCTGGGCTACCGTTTTGACAAGCTTCTGCAGTGAAGACGGTTATAAATAACCGCCTTCGCCTCTAATGGCTTTGCCATGAATAAATGCTCCTCCACACGTGCTCCTGTTGCCCTGAGAGATTTTCAGGCAAATTGTCAGCTCCCTCCAAGGCAGCTGCCTGACTTTGAGTAACACCAGCAATTTGAAAACAATAAATCTGATGTGAGAAGTAGAACTCATCATATTAAACATCAATTTCCTAAATTCCTCATTAAAATTCGGTTAAGATGACCTAAATTAATTGAGTTTAAGTTGGCAAAATACCGCTTTAAATGTGGCACAACAAGAAAAAAAAACGGCGACCACATGAGGTGATGATGTTGGCTAAGCTTATTGTGGCAAACATGCCACAATACACACGTGTATCAAATCATCACATCGTACACATTAAACTTCAGAATGTTCTATGTCAGTTGTATATCAATAAACCTGGGGGGAAGATTAAAAAAAAAAAAACAAAAAACATGGCCCAGACTAAAAAAGGCAAGCATCATCCCCTTTTACCCTTCAACCTTTTGAAGCTCTATATTTACCTATCATACACATGAGAAAGGGGTTGCTTTGTAAAAAGCTTGCTCCGAAAAAAAAAAAAAAAGCATTAAATCTCTCAAGTCATCAGGGCTGTTTTGGCCTTTTCATATCAGACACACCCCAAGGATTCTGAAAGTCACCACCATCTCCAGCAGTCCGGTCCCCTGCCTCTTATTATGGCAACAGGAGGTGACAAGTGTTCTTCAGCGCCCTGACCAGCTCAAGCAGCTTCTCGAAAGCCCTTAATTAAGTCACTACTGCTCATGCCTTCAGATATCTGTCACTGGCAAGGGAGACGGTGGGGCCGATGGTGTTGTAAGTGCTCAATGGATGTTTTGAAAATGTGAGTTGTTGGTCTTTTTTAACAGCTGAGATTGAAATAAGAACACATCCAATCCTGGCGCCAGTGTGACCTGTAGAAATTATGCATGCTCTCCTTCCTAGGCTCGGCTTGCACCAATTAGCCTGACTGGCTTAACATAATCTATTCTCTGTGTCCCACCTCCCTTTCTCAAAAAGAGCCCAATACGTGGCACAACCTTCCTCATTCTCATTTTTTCCGTATGAATGATTTACATTGTGCAGTCAGTGTTTCCTGCAGGATCCGGCCATGTCTGCTAGTGGTACAAAAACCACCTGATCTGGGGCGCCTGGGTGGCTCAGATGGTTAAGCATCTGCCTTCGGCTCAGGTCATGATCCCAGGGTCCTGGGATCGAGCCCCACATCGGGCTCCTGGCTCAGCGGGGAGTCTGCTTCTCCCTCTTCCTCTGCTTCTCCCACTGCTCATGCTCTCTCTCTATGTATATCTCTGTGTCTCAAATGAATAAATAAAATCTTAAAAAAAAAAAAAAACCCACCTGATCAGCCCCATCTTCCTTCTCCGGAAGAACCCCGTTTCTCCCATCCCGATGCTTCCTCTCCATTCACTCAGTGCCCTCGTCTAACCATGAGATGACTGTTAGAGTCCTCCCTTCTAAGGAGTTCATTGTCAGTTGGCAGCTCCAAGGTGTAGTGACACTTTTAAAATACACTCTTGGAGGAGGAAAGGGAGTCACCTTCGGGCAGACACTATTCTTTCCTCCAACCAGGTGCGAGAAGTCAACAATGACTTGGAAGTCACCTCTGACAGTCTGCTGGTCCCTGACAGAGACCTTTTCATATCATCTACCCTTCAAAGCTTTTCCACATCTATTACTCCTTTTGAACTCCCAAACAGCCTGTGAGGCAGGTGGAGGAAGTAGTTTATCGAGTATGATGCTGAGTCACAGAAAGGTTAAGTGGCTCTCCTAAGGTCACACAGCTGGTTAGAGTCAGCCCAGGCAGCAGAAATCCTGGTTCTGCAAGCTCCCGGAAATCAATCCTTTCCCTCACCACAGAGACAATTCTCAAATTCCGTCTTCTGGACACTAAGGGCTGCATGGCACTTTCCATGAACGTCCTCCTAGCTCTAATTACCTGCCTATTTAAGTCCAAGCGAATTCCAGAATGTAAGACCTTTTTCAGCTGACCTTCTCTAATGTAAAGCAATATAATGTTTCTGCTATCATTGTTTTGAGGCATTTTAAGTGGTGTTATACTGGGGCCTCAGGATTGTACTCACCCCATTCTAAAGGTACACTTTATTTTTTTAAAATTTTTTATTGTTATGTTAATCACTATACATTACATCATTAGTTTTAGATGTAGTGTTCCATGATTCATTGTTTGTGCATAACATGCAGAACGTGCCCTCTTTAATACCCATCACCAGGCTAACCCATCCTCCCACCCCCCTCCCCTCTAGAACCCTTAGTTTGTTTTTCAGAGTCCATCGTCTCTCATGGTTCGTCTCCCCCTCCGATTCCCCCCCTTCATTCTTCCCCTCCTGCTATCTTCTTCTTCTTCTTTTTTTTTTTTTAACATATATTGCATTATTTGTTTCAGAGGTACAGATCTGAGATTCAACAGTCTTGCACAATTCACAGCGCTTACCAGAGCACATACCCTCTAAAGGTACACTTTAAAAACCAAATAAGGAGGAGAAGAAAGTCTAAAAGGACCTAAAAGATACATCCAAACCTCCCAACTGGGAAATGAAAAACCTTTAATGTTTTCTACTCCGTGTACTCTAAGCTTTAAACCATTTTGCTCTTAGACCATGGTTTCTGCTGTCATATTGGGAACCATGACTATGGGAGAAAGGAGATGGGGATCGTGTGCAGGCAGTGAGACATTCCCTCACGGAAACATTTGGACAAAAGGTTGTTAGGTTCATCACGCTCGGGAGTCTCACTCCTGCTCTTTGATAGCATAAACACCCAGAGGGCCTCCTTCACCACGTCAGTCCCCCAGATCACAGGCAGCCAAGTGATCTTCCAAAGACCCACTAACAGGTCCTTCTGACTAATAGCATGGAAAGTTCCCACATCATGTTTCGCATCCAAAGCATTTCTAGATGACAACATTCATCAACGTTGCTTTCCATGTAGCTTTTCCAGCTCGCACACTACTACCAAACAGCACATGGCTAGTTATGCCCTCCATTCTTGAAGAGTCCAAAGCTGCCCACTGCCTCTGCGTAAAGTCCAAATCCCTCGACCTCGTATGTGAGACTCTGTAACACAATAAAGGCTGCCTTTTCAGCTGTCTGCCTCAACTCTTCTGTGCTTGATACAACTCAGGTATCTGCTATTCCTCACAAACGCCCTAGAGCTTCCCCTGTCTTATTTGCTCAAGTCACTTCTTCCACTTGGAATACTCTGTCCCTTCTCTGCCCATTCGATTCCTACTCAATGTCAAAAGCCAGCTCGAAAACTTGGCCCCAAATGTAGCTATTTATATACATGCTTTCTCCCTCCTTTTAAATGATGTGATACAGTACATATGCAGCTAATTTATTCGTAGCTGGTGCTCAACAGATTGAGTCGGGTAAGTGGATAAATCTCATGCGTCCACACCACAGTCCCCTGAGGCAGGAAGGTGCAGTGGGGTCTCATTGGCAGCCCTGCCCGGTGTCAGTTGGTGAATCGGTATTGACTGAACAAGAGCAAGAGCATTGTCCTTTTTGCAGTTTGTTCTTTGCAACTGGTCTGTTTTTCTCTAATTTGTGGCACAGGGCCTTAATCCTCTTGCCCCCATTGAATATACACATCCATCACATCAGTGCATAGTTAGAAAATTGTGCCCTTGGGATTTACAAAGTTTTGAAGTACTAATAGTACAACTGGGTTTCCTGGAAGATGTTATCGTTCTTACACTGTTGTGTGGTTTAGAAGAAGGCAAGGAAGACAAATCCCATATAAAAAGTCAAGATCCCAGATGGAGGACAGAGGCTCGCCCTATGAAGGGAGATGGCCAGCTCCACCTCAGATGCCCAGCGTGGCGATCTGGATGAACGACCCGCGCCACTGCTCCCCTGGTGCCCTCCTTAACTGAGTGCACTCCTGAAGTGTGACTGCAGATCTGACCTCATGAAATCCAACGAGCTGGGCGCCCGGGGCCGCTGAGGCATGAGTCTGCATTTCCCCAGTCCGTGCAACAGAATCGGAGCCGTGCACAGCCCAGCTGTGGGGGGGCGGTGGCGGGGGGTGGCAGGCAGAGACTATCTGGTAGCCAAGGGCCCTGCTGGGGCTTTAGAATAACAGCACGAGGTTGTAATCGGATGCCATTTGAGGACATTTAGCCAGTTAATCCTCTCAACCAGCCATCTTTTATTCATAAACACGGAGGAACAACGTTCTCTCTGCTGCTCACTTTGCCCTTTCAGGTTACACCAATATCGTGCTGTTCCAACTTTCCCCTTTGGGTCACAGAAAGTGCACCTGGCACTGTGTAGGCATCTTGTCCCCACGGATGTCCACATGAGTCCTGCACCGGGGTGGACGGAGCACAGTTGCTCCCAGAGCTGTTGTGAGCATTTGTGGTTTAGGGCAAGGCTTAAGTAGCTCTTCCTCGAACCTCAGTAAGACAGTACATGCACCATGTACTTGGCAGGACTTGGTCTTACCACCCCATAGCCCTCACTGTCATCCCAATTATCCATTTTCTTCCAGCCTTGAAGGAGAAGATTCAAAAGGGTAGGATTATTTGTTTTAGGTCTCAAATGTTGAAAATTCAACATTACCAAATCAATCAAACTTCAGCAGCAGGGAGCCCGGTCACACTGCGAGGCCACATCACTCCACAGAGTTCACATTTCTCCTTCCTTAACCCTAGGTGAGCAGACCAGTGATGATAACAAATTACCTGTGGGCAAAGACTGTTTTACTCATTAATCTGCACCCCGCCCCAGGCTCCCCCTTGTTACCCGATACCCATGTATATAAAAGGGATTAAGAACAAAGGTTTTGGAGTCAGATTTCTGAGTTCTGCCCCCACTGGCTACACAGCCTTCAGGAATCTCTCTGGACCTCGGTTTCTTCATCTGTAAAGTGAGAATCATAATAGTACCAGCTCACACAATGAATATGATAATTAAGTGAATTAATGCATGGAAAGTACTTAAATAAATGCAGATGTCAGCTGTGTTTTGCATGGTCTTGAATTTAACTATGATCCATTATTTTGGAGGGTTTAATGGATCCTTAGTTCATGGCCTTGGTTCACCTGTAATAACGGTGAAGGAACACCCATTGTATCTTTATTTTTTTTTAATGTCCAAATCTCTAGATTAGTGATTTTCAAAGTGTGGTCTGGGAACTGCTGGGACTCCCCAGAAACCAAGACCCCCAAGACCCAAGTCCTTAAGGTCAAAACTATTTTTGTAACAACACTAAAATGTTATTTACCTTTTTCAGTCTCATTCTTTCCTGAGTGTAGAGTAGAATTTTCCAGAGGCTCCATGCTATGTGATGATGTCATCACTTAACATTTAATGGAACGTGAGCTTGCACATTCTTGTATGTGTGGGTTTTCTTTTTTTATATTCCTCAGTTATTTCCAATACAATAAATAGCAATAGGTATAACCCACATAAACAAATCTCTTCGGGGTATTCAGTAATTTTTAAGAGTTTAAAAAGGTCCTGGGACCAAGAGTTCCGAGAATCTCTGCTGGACTCTCTCAAATTAAAATCTCCTCCATTTCAAAATCTGGAATGCGAACCCCAGACTCTGCCCTTAACTTTGAGGCGCTGCCCAGAGAGTTGAGGACCCGAAGCTGAGCTGCCTGCCTTGTGTCCTTGTGTGTTTCAGACTGTCCGGGTCCAACTTCCCTGGCGAGGAGTGGCTGTGGAGTTACGAGAAGCACGGCCACCGCCGTTCTGTGATTAGGAGAGTCAAGAGGTTCCTGAGTGCCCACGAACACCCCTCCAGCCCCCAGAGGAGAAGCTATGGCCGGCAGGCCAGTGACAGCTCCATGTTCTTTCCCCCAAGTGGTGAGGTCAGCCCAGCCAGGGATTTGCTGGATGTGCCCTCGAGAAGCCCCCACCATGCCTCAGGCACCCAGAAGCAACCCTGCTCCCCAGAGGGGAGCAGTAAGCTCTACTCCAGCCTGGGGGAGCTGTCCACCATCAGGGAGACCAGCCAGACGAGCACTTTGCAGAGCCTGAGTCCACAGCCCGGCATGAGGGTCTCCCCCACCAAAATGCCGCAGGTCCCCGAGGTACTGATCACAATGGCTGAGGGACCAGTGCCCGTGTCAGATGGCTCCACCACCTCCATCCAGAGTGCAGATTTTACTGGGGTAGAGCCAAGCAGGACTGGACAGCAGGCGGTCCCTGTGGGATTGATTTCATGCCCCACAGAGAAAGGGACACCTCCTAGGGACCCCAGTCCCCAGATTAGTTCAGCCAAAGATGAAAGAAACGTCCTCACCTTTGCCTCTGGGGAAGACCCTAATGATGACAAGTTCCTGAAAAGGTGGAGCCTTCCGGGGTTCCTGGAGTTCAGCCCCACCTCACCGGCAGGCCTTAGTTCAGACCCCGTGAGCCCTGAGCCCCTTCTTTTACTTGACACAGAAGCATCCTCAGAGACCAGTGGAATCAACATTGTGGCTGGCTCTCGAGCCTCTCCTGATATGTTGTATTTAATGGAAAACCTGGACACCAAGGAAACAGATATCATAGATTTTAACAATGAGCCAGCGGAAGAATCACCCAAGGGAAGACCAGAAAGCTCTAGGACCTGGTTCTAGCCGAGGTTCTTATTTTTGAACTGGTCAAATTTTTAAAAAATTTATAAGCTACTTAAAACTGAAGGGCATTATGATCCTAGCTTCTGAGAACTGTTACAAGGTGACTTTCACGGAAGTCACACAGACCACAGTGACATATCTTAACCAAACAGGGAATCTTAATAAAATATATATATGACTTACAATTCAGAGATTATGTTAGATTTGGAAAGGGCCTTGTAGACGATAGTTCCCCAGTTTTGCCTACCGGGAGACAAGGATGCTCTCCTCCCCACTTTTTCTCTTTTCTTCGGCTCCTCAATCATAAAGAGAGAGAGATGTGTCACACAATGCCACAAAAGCTCATTCCTGATACTGACTCTTTGAGGCTTTCTAACCGTCTCACTCCCACTTTCTAGAACTGTTATCACTTCTTGATTCTTAAGTTTCATCAGCATCACAACCTCCATCTCCCTTCAATTTCTTTTTCTCTGTTTTCTTTTATTCTCTCATCCTTTTATCTTTCCCTTCTACTCTGTCCCACCTTTCAGGTTGTACTATTTTCTCTTGCCAACTCTGCTGCTTACTTTTTGCCCTGGTTTGCAAACGATGACGCATTGGCCGTGCCTCCCACAGGTCAATCAAAGATGACCGAAAGTCCAACCTGACACACTCAGGCCTCCCGGTGGAAGGTGCGTGGGGGCTGATGGCAGCCATTGCCATTCTTTCTGTAGCCACCCTCTGGCCTTGAACACTGGAGAAATCGGAAGCCAAGAAGACAAGGAACCTGCATAACCAAGTGCTTATGGAACCAAAGAATAACAAGGCTTGAGTGGGTTTAACTCGAACTCTTAAGCAAAAATCCCAATCATGTCACAACATGGGACCAGTTACTGTGTCTGCCAGGTTGTTTGGCATGAGATAGGATATTGGAGCTGGGAGGTTAAGGGGATCCAGGATGGCACGATGGGGACAGGACGTTGACCAACTCCCTCCAAGGAGTTGTTGAAGATGGCGGTTGGTTGGGGCCTCTGACTTTGTGTGGAGAATGCTGTGTCTCACTATCTCCGTTGTATGATGAAGCTTGACTACGTATGACTTAACAAATAAAGTAACCCTAATTGCTACCATTTATCTAGTACTCACGGGTCCAGGCAGCAGCCTGTAAAGTTCACAGAGAATTTCACTAATCCTCACAGGAATGTTATGGAGAGATCCATTTTAAAGATGAAGAAAACAGAGCCTTTGGAAAAGCAAAATAGTGTGACTAAATCACACAGCCAGAAAGTGGTAGAGCTCGGATTAAAACCCAGGTTTACCCAAGAGTCCAACCTCTTAACCTGTGTGCTCCCTCACTGTGTCATGCCACGTATAAGGCCCTGAATCGGCCAGCAGTTGGCCCACAGTTTTGGAGGATGCCCCAAGGAAGCCATGCCTGAACTTCTCCAGCCTTGGCAGGCCCTCTGGGTCCTCCCTGCCTGAGTCTACCTGGTCTTTTCCTTTTTTAAGATTGATTTTATTTATTTATTTATTTATTTATTTATTTATTTATTTATTTGAGAGAGAGAGAGAGTGGAGGAGGACAGAGGGAGAGAATCTCAAGCAGACGTCGAACTCAGCATAGAGCCCAATGCGGGGCTCGATCCCATGACCCCAAGACCATGACCTGAGCCACTCATGAGGCTCACGAGACGCTCAACTGACTGAGCCACCCGGGCGCCCCTACCCAGTCTTTCATGCATGCATACAGGGAGGGCATTGCTCTCCCCTTGAGCCCAGCCATGGTCCTCTTCATTTTTCTGAAAGAACAAAGGTGGCAGAACCCTCCTCCCCAACTTCTCCCAGCACGCAATGTTATAATTAGCACATTTTTATAAGACACTGCATCTTACTGGGCCACCCAAGCTGCGTGACAGCAGTGACATTTACTTTAACTGGGTTTTCTCAAAAGACTAAAAGGAAAAAGCATTGGAAGAAATACTATACATTGATGGTTCTCTATGTGGGTCAAGAGTGTTAGCCCCTGGGAAAGGACCAATATTCCCAAAGCATTCGTACGGACTATGCGATCAAGTATATATCATATAATATGATGTAATGCAGCTGAGAGCCAGGAACCCTAACCCTCCCCCGGCCTCTTAATGCTGTTCTTTTGGCTGTTTCAACTTAAGTCCCTCTATTCTCTTCTCTTTGGCTTTAACTATTGCTCAGATTCAAACAAGTTTCTACTTAGCTGCTTTCAAAATATAACCAATTTTTGTTCATAAATCCAAGGTGATAAATTACACACAAACAGAATGTATGATTCTAGGAGTCCACTCTCCCAGACTAGGAAAGTATTCATTCATCTCTGCTTCCGTCTACCCCTTATGCACCTTTGTTTAGAAAACTATTTAATTTCCTTACGATTTCATCAGACTCTGAGGTGGCCTCCCATTTCCTCCTTGCACTGGAAGCTGAATAATGACTCATTCAATGAGCCCATGTGGTTGAATTCAGCTATAAATTCAAGCTAGCAATTGCCCATATCATATGAAGAAATTCTCTATTCATTCTGAAATGAGTTTTTACCCACAAAGACCAAAGCTGCAAAAAAAAAAAAAAGATTTCTCTGGTGCCTGATTTCATTGCCTGCCTAGCCCATTTTTCCCTGAGCTCTGGAAACTTCTACCCCCTAAATGGCCACCTGGCCTGGTGGCTTAGTCTTTTTGGCTTGTCCATTCCCAGAACAGGCTCCGCTGTGCATCAGATGCAATCCTTAAAGCCAGAGAGTGCAACAAGGCCAAGCCCACCCTGAGGCCTTCTCTCTCTGACCTCTGGAGCTAGCTGTGCCCTCACGCCTTCCACAAGTCAGGGAAGGTAAAGGCCCGTGAACTTTTTCTCTGTCGTCCAAGAATTCAGGGATGACCGGCCCCCCACAAAACAAAGAAGGCTGTTCTCTCCCCTCTTTAATTGTCTCGTGTACTTCATGGCTCACCGCCTCTGCCACTCCAGCCATCCACTTTCAGCTGGGTTCAACTAAGCCATGGAAAACACATTTTAAATGGAATGGAGAAATGTAAAATTGTCCATTCATTTAAAGACTCACACATCCTCTTTTTTTTTTTTTTTTTTAAGATTTTTTATTTAGACACTGGGGAGGGTATGTGCTCTGGTAAGCGCTGTGAATTGTGCAAGACTGTTGAATCACAGATCTGTACCTCTGAAACAAATAATGCAATATATGTTAAGAAAAAAAAAGAAGAAGAAGAAGGTAGCGGGAGAGGAAGAATGAAGCGGGGGAAATCGGAGGGGTAGACAAACCATGAGAGACGATGGACTCTGAAAAACAAACTGAGGGTTCTAGAGGGGAGGGGGGTGGGAGGATGGGTTAGCCTGGTGGTGGGTATTGAGGAGGGCACATTCTGCATGGAGCACTGGGTGTTATGCACAAACAATGAATCATGAACACTTCATCTAAAACTAATGATGTAATGTATGGGAATTAACATAAGAATAAAAAAATATATAGGGAAAAAAATTTTTATTTATTTACTTGTCAGAGAGAGAGAGACTGAACACAAGCAGGGGGAGAGACAGAGGGAGAGGGAGAAGCCCGTGGTATTATTTGTTGACTAGAAATCCTTAATTTTAACATGATCAAGTTCATCATGGTTTTTTGTTTTATGCTTTTGCAGTTTTGGATAAGAAATCCTTCCGCACCCCTATGCCATGATGCTCTCCTACTCTCCTAGGTTTTCCTATGATCTTTACAGTGGTATATAGGTATGCAGTTTTATTTTCCTCCAAAGACTGAGGCAGGTTCCCCCCATTGCCTCCTGCTAAGCAAGCAGTCTATCGGTTCCATGTATTTCTTGAAAAGCAGATACACTAGTATGAAGAAAAGTAGCATCTGAGAGAGGAGAAAGATAGGGTATGAACGGGAAAAGAGAAAGCTGAGTCATAACTCCATAAAATTCTAACTCCTCCCCACTAAATACAAACTGTTTCCAAAACGCATCCCCTTCCTGTTGTCTTTTGACTAGTGATTTGCCCGTTTGAATACCTGAAGGGTGTAAACTCCTGTTACACTAGACTGCATAAAAATCCACTAGAAATAAGCCAGCTCTTCCAACAGGCTGAGACTGAACTATAAGAGCCAAGCCTGATACGTGAGGAGCTCTCGCTGAAGAAGATACAGTAACTGTGTTGTAAGGATAGCTCAGGATCCTGCAACGCTCAAAGGAAGGCAGGATGGAATCAGAGAGGTGGAGTCCACATTCAAACTGTGATCCAGGTTCCAGCTGCGGGATCCGCGGAGGAGGAGGTGTTATAGCGGGAGGCCACCGTCCCTGGAGGCAGCAGGAAGTCCACCCCCCCAGGGGGCCCTCCAGGGCTTTCCACCATCGTCTTCACCCTCCTGGAACAGGCTTTGCTCAAAGATGGGTGGATCCTGGGTGTTCACGGCCACCCTCAGCCCTGTCCTGAGTCCCCGTGTAAAGCCACAATACTAGAATTCCTCAATTTGGCTCCTAAACACAACCAAGTATCATCTGCTCTTCCACTGAAACAGTTCCGCTGACTTTTAGCATCCGGGCACATGGGCTTCCTGACAAAGAACCTAATAAAGTGCCCAACGTGGTCCCTCCCTAAGAGAATTACGTGCTGAATTTAGGGCCTCACCTCTGCATATGCTCGCTGGGAGACGTTCATCACCCAAGCATAGATGCGGGGGCATCCCAGAAGCCCAATGAAGGGAAAGTGCAAGGGCAGAAGCACTTAAAATACAATGTGATTGTCTGAGCCAGAGTTGGATATATGACTTTGGCCTG